CAGGTAGTTGTAGAGAGCAATAAGGTCTCCCCTGAGCCTCCTCTTCTCCAGACTGAACAATCCCAGCTCCTTCAGCCTCTCCTCATAAGGCCTGTGCTCCAGACCCCTCACCAGCTTTGTCGCCCTTCTTTGAACACACTCCAGGGCCTCAATGTCTTTCTTGGAGTGAGGGGCCCAAAACTGAACACAGTACTCAAGGTACGGCCTCACCAGAGCTGAGTACGGAGAGACAATCACTTCCATGTTCCTGCTGACAACACTATTTCTGATGCAAGCCAGGATGCCATTGGCCTTCTTGGCCACCTGGGCACACTGCTGGCTCATGTTCAGCCGAGCATCGGTCAATACCCTCAGGTCCATTTCCTCCATACAGTCTTCCAGCCACTATGCTCCAAGCCTGTAGCTTTACCTGGGGTTGTTGTGGCCAAAGTTCAGGACCCGGCATTTGGTCTTGTTGAACCTCATCCCATTGGCTTCAGCCCATCTATCCAGCCTGTCCAGATCACCCCTTTCTTATCCCAAAAGACTGTTCATCATTTCACTCACTGAGGACTGCGTCTTGAACTTTTACTTTGATAAGAAATTGAGGTTGCCACTCCATGGACTGCTGTTTTGACTCTAGTTAGTCATCAGTAATGATACAATCCAGGAAACTGTTACTTTCAGCCTTGTATTGATTCAGTAGCTCCTGACAAACTTGCATACTGTTTTCTTTCTGTTCCCGTGTGAGCGTTCATGGGACCCCCCATGCAGACTTTGCCACCATTGTTTCCATTGCACTGAAGCCAATATTCAGTTTCCTACATGGTTCCCTGCTCATAATCCACTGATTCACACAGATGAGCCGATCAAAACGCTCTTCATCTTGTGATGTGACAGCATAGCTATCTGGAAAGTGACTTGTATTTCGTGTTGCTGTTGCCACTGCTGAAATGCACCACTCACTGTTTCACTGTGCTCACGTCCACTACTGGATCTCCATAAATGTTCAATGAGCATCAATGAATGTCCAAGGATGCAATGTTTTCCTAGTGGAGGAATTCAGTAACACACCTTTGCTTCATCTACACTTCCATGTTAGACTTCCATGTCAGTTTTTCAGATAGCCCTTCTGCTGTTGTCTGGCATGTGGCAACAATGGCCTGCAATGGAATTACGGTGGGAAGGTTCAACCCCTACTGCCACACCACCAACATCCACCTCTGATGTTGGCCAACATAATAACATAGGGGACATTACCTCCAGAGCAGCCCTCGTATTTGGACAGCTTGACATCTTTCATTTTCATGTGAGGTCTAAGGGATATATTGGCAATCTACAAAAACTTTTAAATTGCTGCTTTTTTGTAGTTGTTCTTCCAGTTTGCTTTCTTATTCAGGATATCTTTTTGTGTAACAGGGAAATGTCTTAGATTAAAGTAAAATAGAGTCTTTAGCTGGTAGTTGGGTAAACCCTTAGCTACAGCAGCAGGAATTCTAATTTGTAGCAGGTCAGTCAGTCAGTCAGTCATGCGTATTCTGTCAGAAAACAGTTCCCTTTACATTTGAGCTATGTGGTTGTAAGCTATCGTAATTTGTTCCTTTGGAGTCTGCACCTCTTAGGCTCTGCTTCAAGCACTTACGTTTTGCCAGCAGACAAGGACAGCACAAAGGTCACAGATACCAAGTTAAAAAGTGCATTTGTCTTCAGTTAAGTTTAGAGCAATGAGCTAATGAATGGAACGATACAGTAAGAATAAAACAGAGCAAGGCAATGCACCTAACCATTACTACATGAGGATAGTGATTACAAAAGATGCATCACCAGCTGCCCAAATACTTTACCATCATCCAGATCCACAGTCCCTGGGGAGCTCAGGTTGCAGTGAGGATTTGGAGATCCTTTCCCAGCAACTGAGAGGTCCTATGCAGTGTGTCCACTCATAGATGAAGTCTCCAACTTCACTACAAGAGAGTCCAGCTTTTATATTGTTGAATAAACAAGTATATGTGGCAGTTAGGTGGAACCATCTGATTTAGTTCTGTTTTTTTGGACTCTATCTCAAGCCTGGCCAGGGCTCAAGGAGGAACCAAGGAAGTTTGTGTATTAGTAGGCCTTGCTTCTAAACAAAGAAGGGTTGATATGTTCTCATAATGCTTTGTCTAAGCTACATCCTTTGTCCAAGATACATATTTTACTAATGATTGGAAAATGATGATATAAATAATGCTGTGTTGTGAGATTCATCTAATGGTCAACTTTGGTTTGAGGCCTACTGTTTAGGCCTTAGTACTCCAACTTAAGATACGGCTTTTTTTTCCTCCAGAATAAGAGTCCATTTGTAAATAAAAATATTTTATGAAGTCATTTAGAGTTGTTATATTGTAATCTATTCGAATATCATCAAAGATCTGAGATCTATTCCCGGGGATGGGGCAGACACCACGAGCTTTCAGTTCTTAAGAAATATTTTGCTTCCGCATAGTTGCGCTCTCACAAAAAGCCATAAGTGGCTCAGAGCTGCGACTGGCCTCTGTGTGGGTCATAGTGATGAGTCCCACCAATCTGCAGCTGTCTGCAAGCTGGTGTTTTCTCTATAGTCTGCCTTTCTTCTCTGGTGCTCAGTGGTGGAGCAGTTGCTGGTTCCAAGGTACAATCACACAGAGAAAGAAAAAATGAGATAGATAGTATTTTATATGTGTCAAGCCCCAGCGATGTCTGTCAGAGTTCACATTTGGCCACAAACAGCGTATGAGTGTGTATGGATGGTGCTTGTGTCTTCTCTTTTGGTGCTGGGTCTATTGGGTGTGTTATAAAAACATGAACCCTGCTCTTGGATAATGGGAAACGTAATTCTGAATTGCTTCATGGCAAAGAAAACAAAACAGAAAACCTACCACTAACAAAAGCCCCTCCGCATGTTTTCTGTTGTTCAGGTGTGACTGTTTGCTTTTGCTTAGCCCAGCGGCAGCACTTCTTACCATTTATCACATTGTCAGCACGCAGGCAGCCCTTAGCCTTTAGCTTTGGCCAGGACAACGGTGGGTGTACGCAGTACATCTTAGGGAGAAGGGAAAAGCTGAGAGCGTGGTGCTAGGGAAGTTGTACCATTCTCATGTGTTGCTTGGATACTGCCTCTCTTCCAGGGTTAAAAATACCCCGATGTACCCTTATAGTGTGCAAAACTGTCAGATTATATTACGAGACAGACAGGACGTTTCTGCTGCCGGTGGGAGCCGCTGGCTTTTATTGTTACAATTGAATAACATTTCTGCATCATCCGCAGGGTTATTAATAATTGCTTATCATACAGGGTCACAGAAGAGGAAGAATGTATTCCCAGATCGCTCCAGAGAATGTAGTCATTGTACGCAACTGCGTAATTGATAATAAAGATGGGTTGACTTAAAGGACAATGCTTTCCTTGTAATATAGTGATGTTTTACTACCAAAATTCCCGTTAACACAAAGATTTCAGCTTATTTACCGATGGTTTAATGGCTGTTTGGTTTGTTGGTCTGGTTTTATAACTCCTTTTGGCAACTATTGCAGCTTCTGTGCATGAACTGTGACCATGATGCGGCAACAGAGGGAATTACTGCGCTCTGATGTTTTTGCCCAGTGCAGTGAAACACCTTTCGCATTGTGATAGTAATCTCCGTAATGGTGAATGCTCCTAATGAATTCCACGTTCTGGAATATCATTTATATAGCATTTTCCCTGGAGGACTGATGCAGTGCTCACCCTAGTCAAGCTTATGCCCTTTCAGAGTTTGCCTGTATGGATGCCACATTTTGTCTGCATCTGCGGGATGCATGGAAGCCAGGATGTACCTGGCTGTTTATGGAGTTCTCCCTGGTGGGCAGGGGTGGGCACAGGCACAGCTCTGTGCCACCCCTGCCCTTTCCATCAGCCACTCCACAGGTGAATTCTGCTCCTTCTTGTGAGCAGAGAGTTTGTGAGAGCACATTAGAAACACAGAGAGAGAGTTCTGAGAGGAACATTTTCTGTTTTTGTATTTCTCCCCAAAGGCAGATCTGCTAAAGCATGTTTTGATAGGCTGGAGTTTGTACTTCAGTAGCTAAGATCTTATTCTGGAAAATATTACTCTTCAACAAACATAACAATTTGTTTCTTTGTATGTCCTCTGGCCCTTCAGTGACTCCTGTAGGGCAAAACAGAAGGAAGGAGATCTTCCATTGATATTCAGGCTAGTATTGGTTTCTCCACAGAAGGACGGAGCTGCTAGAGGCCAGCATTAGATATGTGTAAGCAAATCTGGCTGTTGATCTGTGTCTGTACACGGTACACAAGCTGCCCCTTTCTCTTTGTTAGTGTATTAGGAACTCATGGCAACTGGCTCTGCTTCTTTGGTGTCAGTGTCATCATCCTCTGGCACAGTCATTGCTGCTGTATATGGAGAAGACTCTGTGTATTGATGTTAATGACTGTGTGATGCTGGCATTGAAAACAGCACTAATTCTGTACGTCATGTTAGCCCAAGCAGCTCCTCTACACTGCACCTAGGATACATTTCAGCATCTCTTCTCAGTCTGTCTGGGGGCTGACAGAACTAGAACATCTCACGCAGATATGCACACACCTGCGTATGTGTATTTCTGTGTTCAGAGATGTGCTGAAACATCCCAATTAAAGTATTTTTTCTTATGTGTGTATAACGTATATACAATAGCAGAAAATCAGCATTAACCAGTTCTGAAATCCTGAGTATTGGTAGGTGGTGCTTTCAGGTTCACACGGTTCAAGAAATTTGCATGTTGCCTCAATGTAGCTATGATGTCACTTTAATGTTAAGAAGATCATGCTGCGTGATATAGTATTCTTATTGTCAGTTTCAAAATATAGCTGCAAAGCACAGAAGTCTCCTTTTATGACAGCCTCTGTTAGCAGTCTGTAGTAACAGTCTGTCGCTATTGAACTTAATCTTGGCTTTGAAATCCCAGGAGGCTGGGGGACATGCACATGACTGATTTGTTTGTTTTCTTTGCTTTATGCTCAGCTGAGCTGGATGCTGAACATGCACAGAAGGTTCTGGATATGGAGCACACCCAGCAGATGAAGCTGAAGGAACGTCAGAAATTCTTTGAAGAAGCCTTCCAGCAGGACATGGAGCAATACCTTTCTACAGGATACTTGCAGATAGCAGAGAGACGAGGCAAGTTTTGAAATACTTCAGGTGTGATCCACAATCTCACAACTTAGTGAATGTTGATTAAGAGTCACATCCAGCAATGGGCACTTACAGCTGAAGCAGTGCAATGCCTAAATTCTTCCTCGGGGGAGCTGAAAATTTAGATAAGCTTTTGAAACAACCTTTGGGTCCCAGAGGAACTAGATGCTTGATAAAATCAATCAGACCTCTGCTTATTTGAGAAAATGCAATGTGCTGAGGCACTTCTGGAATGGTGCTCTTCCTTACAGCTCGTAAGTGCACCCATATCTCTGAAGGAATCAGTAGGGGTGGGCACCTGTGTCACGATGCTGAAATCTGGCATCATCACCTGGTAGAAAGGGCCTCAGAACGTTTCCAAAGGTGCAGGCAAAGCTCAGTGTTGTCTTTCAAAAACAGTTCCCAGATGGCAGCTTCTTACGTTGCCTATGAAATCTCCGGAGTATGTGATCAGGATATGGGAAATGTAGATGAAGCTTTCTCCTTGTTGTAGATGACTCAGGTCTGGCATCTCCCAACTAGTTAAAGGACAAGAATGCTGTAGACTACAGACAGTTCTGTGTGGGAAGCATCCATCTGTTGGGCCAAAATGTTTGTAGGACAGGAAAGAAAGCAGGAGATAACATCATTCATGTAGCAGGAAAAACGTGGAAGCTCTGTCCATTCTTCAGTAGCAAATCTGCTGTCATTTGTAATGCTGGAGCAGGGAACACAGTCCAGGATTTCAGTTTCTCTACACAAGTGCTATAAATGCTAACCTGCAACATGCTCTAGATTGTCTGGGAAAAAATTGAGATTGTACCTCCTAGGTTTTGTGTGATATATATGTGCGTATATCTGTGTATATATATATAATCTATTTATGCTAAAAGTCAATGGTGTCACTGCTACTAGTGGTAGCTGTGTTGCTCTGTTTAAGAGAGGTGGGCATGTGCCTTTCTGAACTTCGTATTTTCAGTATAATGCAGAACCTGTGTGTATCAAAGAAACTTTCTATGAATAATTGGATCTGGGCAGTACATGTAGAACTGCAAAAGTACAGTATGTATGGAAGAAGAACACTATGATACAATTTTATTTCAGTTCACGTATGAAGGCTTTAATAGTGTAATTGGTCCACTTACATAAACCTTTAAAGTGTTAATTATATTTGTGAATACACATGCAGCCAGAGGACTTAAATCTTGAGTACCCCTGAAAACTCTTATTCTGTGTTTGTATGCTCTGTTATTCAAGGAAGAAGATGCTCATCCAGGCATTTAATTCCCCTGTGAATAGTCAGTTTTATACTGACAGTAAGAAGTAGTTTTCTTGAGGTGTTAATGCTGTGAAATCCCCATGCCTGGGGAGATATTGGGCATCAGATGTTGTGCATACTGCTGCCACTTATTAGACTGAATTGATAGAATGAGGAAGAACGGCTGCTCCGTTAACATTAATCCTCATTTCTAGTTTTCATGTCCCCATCCATTGATGCCTAGAGATTGTGTGCTCAAACTTGGGTTTTAATCTAAAAAGGCTTGGCTGAGGCAAATGGGAAGGAGTGCTGCAAAATGGAAACTTCCAGTATTTGTCCCTGAGCCTCACCTGAGAGCATTTCTGAAGCTATTGCTGCAAGCACTGCTACTATAAATGTTTTGTTTTGCAAAAGCTGTAATGGATTTTTAGTTTCACAACAGAGGTTGCACAGAGTTTTTGGATTTGGGCTGAGATTGTTGCCCAGCAGTTATCTGATGCGTGCTCTCCTTCCATATCTGGTTTAATTATTACTGATGCGTGCAATTATAGCAGCAATTAAAGCCTTATAGGTAATAACATCATGTCACTGACGGTCAGTTTGCTCATTGCGCTATTTTTACTACAGAACCAATTGGCAGTATGTCTTCCATGGAAGTGAATGTGGACATGCTGGAACAGATGGACCTAATGGACATGTCTGACCAAGAAGCACTCGATGTCTTTTTAAACTCAGGAGGCGAGGACAATAATATGCTTTCTCCCATGCTGGGTATGCTCCTAGTACTGCCAAAGAGATTAATCACAAGAATTGCTCTCATTTGTAATGGATGATGTTATCTCATAAAACATTGCATAGATTGAATGTTTTTCACTGCTATTTTTCAGGATGTTTGTATTGAGTTGCAACACAGGAGAGCTTGCTGCAGAACTGTGTGGTGTTTCTGGCCTGTTGCTCTCATTGCCTGCTTACTGCAGCTTAATGTCGTAGCTCTTAAGATACGGACAGGGGATGTGCTGCATAGAGCTTCCTGCTGCATTTTTACTGATAAAAAGTTGATAGGTGATGCTGTAATGAATGTGACTACTGAATGTTTTTATACTCTATTGCAAAAACTGCATTCATATGGCTGATTTTTGATAGACATCCAGTTCATACAATGGTTGAGTTAATCACTGTTTGAGTGTGTGCTAATTCCAGAAGCCAGGGCTGTTCCCATGCTGGTTTTAGCAGATGTTGGCTCAGGGGGCTCTGTGTCTTCCTGTCTCATCAACAGACAGTATGACTGCATTAGTGAGGAAATGCAGAAAGTGCTGCACGTGGTTGCATTCTGCCTAAGCTGATTTAAAACATATCAGCCTTTGAAATAACTGTGATCATTTTGTATTGTGATACAAGTGTTACGGTGTGTACAGTGCACATTTCCGTGCCGTATACCTGTGCATACACACCATAATGTAATGTGCTAGTGCTGTGGTGCTCTGTAGCACTCAGTTGTAACACAGAGATAGAATGGGCAGACCTTGCTCCTCTACAGCTGTTGCTCCTCATTGTGATAGTCTTGTGAACCCTATTTTTGTGGCTCCAGATGACTCATTTAGCTCTGAATCAGAAAGGATTTGTTTGCTTCTACTGCCTCTGGATGCTTCTACAGTGGTTTGCCAGTTACAGTTCAGCTCAGTTACTTGGTGGGACTGTGATGTCCATTGTAAGGCAACGTAGTATGAGCTGCTCTGCATCTGACCTTTAGCAGGGCTAAGGTGGTGTGGTCAGCTCATTTCTACCCACACCCTCTTGAAATGTTTATTTTAAAAAATTCTTACCTAAGAGTATTATTTTCTCACTGTGGTTCCTCAGTGCTGAAGCTGCGTGACCTAACAGTTTCTAAGTATAGCAGGAAAGCAAAAAGAGATTTATTTGGCAGGTCATATAAAAAGAGAGTTAAGATTTTTCCCTGTTTTTTTTTTTTTTTTTTTTTTTTTCTCCTTCTTTCCTTACTTCCAGGAAGTGTCCAGAGGAGGATGTAAGGTAGCATTAAAGACTGAACTCTCAAACTGCAAGCAGACACTGTTGCAGTGAATTTGCTTAGACATCTTTTTGCATAGCATAGAGGGAGCGCAGGCTTAAAATCCCACTTCTGGTTCCTTGAGCTATAATGCAGCTTTACAAAAGGAGTTCTGTCATGCTGTAGTGCAAGGCAGAGTGTTATAGAATCACAGAATTATGAAGGCTAGAAAGACTGCTAAGATCAGCTGCTTGAACCATCAGCTCATGCCTGTGACCTCTCTATACCATGTCACTCGGTGTGACATCTACCCTTTTCTTAGAAACCTCCAGGGATGGTAACTCCACCACCTCCCTGGGCAGCCTGTTCCAGTACCTCACCACTCTTTTGGAGAAGAAATTTTTTCTAACATCCAATCTCTACCTTCTGTGATGCAACTTGAGGCCATTCTCTCTCATTCTATCGCTGTTACCAAGAAAATGCCAACAGCCCCCCACCTCATCACAGCCTCCCTTCAGGTAGTTGTAGAAAGTGATGAGGTCTCTCCTGAGCCTCCTCTTCTCCAGACTGAACAATCCCAGCTCCCTCAGCTGCTCCCCATAAAAGACCTGTGCTCCAGACCCCTCACAGCTTCGTTGCCCTTTTCTGGACATGCTCCAGGGCCTCAATGTCTTTCTTGTAGTGAGGGGCCCAGAGCCAAACACAGTACCTGAGGTGCTTCTGTATCTTTGTTTTTAGTCAAAACTGGAGATTGTTTTTATTGTCTGCCTTTCAGGTTTTTGTGGTTTTGGTTGTGGGTTTTCTGTTGTTTTGTTTTCCACTTATTTTTTGCATGTCATTCTGTTGGACAGTTATTTTTGGGGGCTTTTCCTGTTGGTGATGATCCTTAGCACGTGCTATAGCCTGAGTGAGGGAGGTTAATGGTCCTGGCTAACAGGCAAACTGACAACGCTCCTTCCCTCTTCTGTAACTCGAACTTGAGTATTAAAATACAACAAGCGAGAGACGTGCACCATCAGAAACATTTCAAAAATCAGCCTGCAGCTTATCTTTGAGAGCAGCATCAGAAAAGCCAAGAGGCAGCTTTGTGTCTTGGGAGGTTTTTTAGCATCAAAAGGAGCAGAGGAGCTTGAGTGCAACTCATAAACCAACTCTGAGCTCTGCTAACACAGTGACTTCTCATTGCATTGCTGAACCATAGCTTATTTCTTCTTGTTGTTTTTCCACCTGTAAGGGCCTGACTCCAGCACCTATGTGAATGAGATCAGTCTTCAGGTTCCGAGCCAGTCCGAATTACGCCACAAACTGTCTTCGCTGTCATCCACCTGCACTGATTCTGCCAGCCAAGAGGCGAGCGAAGGAGAATCTCCGGTCGTTCAGTCTGATGAAGAGGAGGTTCAAGTGGACACTGCTCTTGCTGCTGTCACTGAAAGAAAGGGTGCTTCAGATGTTAGTGATGAAAGTGACTCTCAAACTATTTGAATCTTAAAACCATATCCTTTAAGAATGACTTCTGAATGAATGAACAAATGAATGAGGAGCTTGCCTGTGTCACAATTCACTAACCAATCCGAACAGCCAGACCTTTTTACTAGTACTACGTGCAGCCTTTTTACAGAATTGCCAGTCAGGTGGAGGTTGGTTTTTAACAATAAAAATATGCCTAAAGCACACACACTTTAACAGTAGTCTTGGGGCTCAGGGGAGCAGTGAAACTTTTGTATATACTATGTATAAAAGAAGTAAAGGGGAAAGATAAAAGTTACGACGACCGCTAACCTTTAAACAGCTGATTGGGAATCTTTCCATTTGATGTATAATACTGACCCCAAATTGTTCCTTGCATGTTTTCAGCTGCTGCAACTGAAGATTTAAGATCCAAACCAAAATGAAAAGCTATTTTCTACTCTTTGCTACCTACTGTCTGCCTACCGCTTTTGTCTACTGATGCAGCAGCGTTTACTATCTCACACTTCTTATTCAGGACCGACTTAGTTATCATAGGTGTTAAGGAAAAAAAGAGAAATTCAAAGGAGGAGAGGTGCGTATGGAAGTGTTACACTCCTCGTGGAGCAGATACCGTAGCATTGTGTAAGCTTACTCCTCTTTCGACATAAAATAAAGTATTTCTATCCCAACCATGTCTTTCACTTGATTACCCAAAGTACTTTCTCCATGACAGCGAACAGAGGAGACTAATGCAGCAATCAGAAAACTGGTTATTTATCCTGAGCACCAGTGGAATTTACTTTTCCATGGTAACATCTGTGTGACTGCACTGAGGCAAGCCAGCAATTTAAGGGAAATAAAGCCGAATAAATTATTATAAATGAAGTGCATACGTTTTACAAGATGTATGGTCGTCATCTTAATCCCCTCGTGTTTTTTTTTTGCAGTCATTTTCTCTGCACTTGTGGTCTGGACCTAACTCCTGTTTCTTGTCAAGTCTCGCGCTCTGTTTGCAGGGATCTGCTCTCCTTTGAGAAGCTTCCTGGCTCCTGCTCTTCACGTGCTGAGGGAAGGGATGTAATCAGAAGCGGCGTAAGTAAAAGGAGGAGCTGTGCTTCAGATCTTCCCAAGACCGACCCCGGCAGTTAGTGGTGGGCACTGAGGGAGATGAGAGATGAGAGAGAGCCACTGGGAGGCAGCTGCTTTCCTTCAGGGTTTGCTGTTTCTCTGTTTGCTGCAGGACATGTTGGCTAGGAGCTCGCTACCTACCAGCAGATACAATCCCTCCTTAGCATTCAGTGAGGCCGCTGTCAAAAGAAATCTTTCTTGGAAGAGCTCGCTTTACTCACTCACTTTCCAGAAGACAGACAAAATGTCCAAAAAAGTTTTGTTTTTTTATTAAACCTCGTAGTACAAACCTGGAAAGTAAACAAAAAACTGGCAATAAACAACATGAAGTCTTTCCTTACAAGGAAAGAGAGCAGAGCAGCGCTAATAAATTAAATGTCAAACTGTAAGCCATAGTCAGAAGTTTACTGTCAAGAGGGAAAAAGTACACAGCAAGGCCATAAAAACCAGACAACCACATTTGAAAACACTTGACTCTGTTTATGTTATTGTTAAATATTCCAAAACAGTTCAGTCTTCTGCAACAACAACCAACAAATCGTAGTATAGGACTTTCCTGACAGTCACCACTGGCAAGCTCAGTGCAATATGGGTAGCTACGGTATCGTTGAATTCAATTACGAAACAAAACAGTTTGTGAAAACATTTTCCCTTTTTTATTCCACACATACTGTACACACAACCAGAAAAGGGCAACAGCTACTCCATTATTATTTTTTGTTGTTGTTCAGTGATGTAAGCAGCACTTATAAATGTTACAAGAAAAACCCTGTAAGCATCCAATCCAACCGATGAAGAAAGTGAAACGTAAGGCTTTTCTTCATCTCGTCTCCTCGCCGCCCCTCCCCCCACCCCAAGAAAAGGCTCAAGTATTTAAAAAAATTTACAGGCATATGTACAAAAGGTGTGATTTTTTGTTACAACATGAAGAGAAAAAAGAGACAAGATGAAAGCAAATGTATTTTCACATTCAAAAGAAATACGCAGACCTGCTAGTGGCTCTAAACGTGATCGCATCATGAAACGAATCCGAAACAAAAATTAATGCTCGACGGTGTAAAGGTGTGAAACACAGCAGTGGAATGGAAATGGAATGTTAAAAAGATTGCACGTCTATGACAAAAGAAGCACTTATGGCTTCAATCACTTTTTTTTTTTTTTTTCTTTTTCTTTTCTTTTTTTTTTTTTTAAAGGATGCTATTGAAGGGTTTTTGATAAAGTAGCCAACAGCACCAAAAAATAACAGAATGGATTTCCTAATGAAATCAGGCACAGTTTTCCCTCACGTGACTCCTCAAGGCAGGCAGTCTTTTTTCCTCCTTATTTTTATTTTTTTATTTTTTTATTTTTTTTTTTTTTATTATTTATTTTCCCCCTCAAAACAGATGCATAGTGATGTGCTGGTAAAAGAGAACATACTCCAACTCTCCCCCTTTTGCCTACAGTTAGGAAACGAAGTCCATCTTCAGCTGCCATAACCTCCCAAAGAAAGTGTGTATTCTCCAATTTAAAAAATTACAAAACTCCGCTTGCTGTGACAGAATAAAAGACAGCCAAAGTAAAGCAATTTCTTTCAAGTTTTTTTTTTTTTTTTTTGTCTCCCATCCCTTTTCGCTCTAGAAAAATCTGCTCACATGACTGGAGAACAAATTAGAAAACACATCCAACTTTAACCTAGTCAAAAAATGGGTTAAAAGCCTTTTTTCACAGTTACCAAAAAGGCTCTTTATTTTCTCAGCCATGGGGACAATACAAATTAATATTTATCAGCCCCTCTCGCCGCTTTTAAAACAGTGAACGTACGGCAGTTTAAAAAAATCAGACTGCTGTATCTATCTATCCTAAGTACAAAAAAAAAAAAAAAAAAAAATTCAACAGTTTAATGCTAAAACAAAATTAGTTCTCTAAAACCAGAAGAAAATCTTCTTTAGAGCTAGTGCAAAGACAGCTTGTATTCTACAGCAAGTACTCCAAACTATGGTATAATAATTACAAAAAATATATATAAATTGACAAAATGAGAGTGTTGGCATCTTCAGGATTAACTTGAAGCACTTTTGGATGAACTGGAGGATGAAAGCCTGGATGATGGCACGTCGACTGTCGCTCTCTTCCGAGGTCCTCTTTTTGGTGTGGGCTTGCTGATACAGTTCTCAATGCTGCCATTTTTACCAGATACTTTTCCACAGATTTGATTGACCAGACTGATTATTTGTTCCTGTTCAGGAAGTGGGAAAACAAGACACAAGTGAGCATCCTTCCTTTTTCTGAGTGCTTCTGTTTGTTAGAGCAGTGTAGCACCATCCTTTGGCTGACGGCACCAAAGCAGGGGAAAATAGCTGCTGCTTTGCTAACTAACTGCACAGCAGTCCATACAACCACATGTTACTATTTCACAGGTGGGCTTTGGCTAAGAAGCACTGCATAGTACCTAGAGTGCCCCTGCTGTAGTTTCCTGGCTCTGAATATAAAATCAGTGATGGGTGACAGGACTGCGCCGGGCTGAGCTCTGGGCTGCGCAGATCCAGCTCAGCAGAGCCAAAACTTTGCTGCAGATGCAATTTAAAACCACTGCTGAACAAAGTAATAAATGCCATGAACTTAAATCTTCAGGTGACAATGCTTGATATCTGCTCTTACTGACTTCTATTTAAAACTTCAGGAGAAAGTCCTGCTTTTCCATATCGAGATTGTTGTCATTTGTTACAGGATGCTATTTTCCTTTACTGCTTTTTAGAATCTCTGCATTCCCCAAGTGCTCCAAGCCAGTGCTGCCACACAGGACAAAGGGCTACAGGTCTGTGGCACTGCATTCAGTGAGACAGGAGTCCCTGAACAGCACAGTGCCAGTGCTGCATCACCGCTCCTGCTCTCACTGCAGTCAGTGGTTCTGTAAAGTCTGGGGCAGGGGGGACAATCCCCTCCTGGCAGGAATCTTAAGAAGTTGGTTTTGAGCAAAGAGCAGCTAACAGTTAAATAGGTTTAACAGATGGCATCTGACGTGCAGGCTCTCTCTCTTTCCCTACTCACAGCTCTCAAAAAAATTATGTAACATCCACCAGGCATACACTGAGTATCCTTCAGAAGTGCAGAAATTGAGAGTCTTTTCATTTGGGGAAGAAATGTTATCCAGTACTGAAGGAGAGATTTTTCCTTTCCCACTGTAGCCCCAAATCCCTGCTTTGTAATTATAAAACCAGTCCTTACTTTATGTGGCTGATTAAGAGTGGCTTTGAAAACCTCAGTAGGGTTATCAGTTCTGTGAAGACCTGGATGTAAGAGCCTAAATAAGCTCAAGAATTAGAGAAAGACATTTAAATTTCCGAGGAGTCTCCTGGTGCTCCTCAGTGTATATACCATGTTACAAAGCCAGTTTCCCTGTTGCCTGGACATCCTAGATTGTACCTGTTTGTAGCTACAACACCTGATAGCACAATGGAGCCCACAATGAAAATCAAAGCCAGCCAGAATGGCACAACTTCTCCAAACTCTTTTTTTTTTCCCTCTGGATCTCTGTGTGCATTAGAAGCTACTGAGACATCCGCCTCAGAGTTGCTTGTATCTGCACTGCTCTCAAAGAGCCAATTTTGTAAATTCTCCCAGTGTGTCCCTACCCACGGCTCAGACTAACAAACAGCCCCTCCTCTGTCCATCCTACCCCCAAACACAGTTTTTCCACAGATGGTGCTAAGCGGGCGTGTAAGGAGCTCTGTTTGACTGTACCGCAATGCAGCACTAGCCTGGAATCCAGGCACAGTCCTAAATCACAGCCCTGAGTTCTGTGCTCATTATCTGTCTGACCCCCAGCCATTACCAGGGCCTCTCATCTAACAAATACTCTGTGAGCTCACTTCAAACCAGCAGCAGAAGAGAAAAGCTGTGACGACTGCACAAACCTCATCATAGCGGTACATCATTTTCAGTCCCCGACAAGACTTCTGTTTCTCCACATGCCGCAGGGCACACTCCAAGCAGAAGACAACGTTTTCGTTCTCCTGTACAACCTGCCAAAATATGAACAGGTGGGGGAAATGCAGTGAGCTGCAAGCTGAAGCCGGGTTATGCCCACATTCTTTTCCGTTGAGAGGCATCATTATACCTGTATATCATTATAAATCAGCAAAGAGGGAGGGTAAACCAGATGCACACACATTGTGAAATGAGTGCTAATGCTGCAAATGCTTACCAGTTAAAAAACAATAGCAATGAAGGATAAATCTAATGCTGCACATATAAAGCCTTACTGATATCTAACGTGTGTCCTAAAAGCTTCTTGAAAGCAGCAGTTTCACATCACTTTAAACGTTGCCTTGAGTCCAAACAAAGCCAGCAATGTGGCCACAGGACCCTCAGCTGCTATCCGAGCCAGCAGAGGTCACACTCAGCTGCTGGCTGCCACACCTACAAGTTCAGCCTGGAAGTGAACTGGTTGCTTTCCTGTCCCTTACTGCCGTTAGAATGACAAAGTAAAATAATTTCCTTGATTACATTTACATGACTTCATCGTCTCCACAGCAAGCTGATCAGAGTCAGAGTTTTTGGTTGGTTCACGTTTTTTGTTTTTTTTACAACTCATTTTGAAGTTACTTCAAACTAGTGCTGCTTAAACATGTCTTAGCTGCTCTAAACAGCGCATTCTGTCCTGGGGAGAGAAACAGCTACATCTCATCATTTAACATCACATTTCCATTAAAAAATAATATTTATGTTGGAAGAAACCCAAAGATTACAGGAAAAAAAGGACTGAATATGGAGATACTGTATCATATTTATTTAAATGTTTAATCTTGGCATTAGATGGTGCAGAGAGCTGCAGGAAGGGCTTTTAGTGTTCATAATGAAATTGCCGTATTTCTGATTGTTCTGCATACAGCTAAGAACCTGACAATTGCCACAGTGGCCATCACACCTTTACAAGCAGTAGGCAGCTGCTTCTGACAAAGTTATGCGTGTGACTTTCTGTTTTCAGACAGAGGTTGTCAAACAGCATCTCAGCTCAGTGAGTAGGGGACATACGGGGCAACCAGCAGCATGGGCTGCATGCCTGTGACTCAGGGCATACATTCTTGTTGCTTGCTCATCCTGGGAAGTGTTGTGCCATGACTTACTGCTACTGGCAACCTACCTTCATTACCTCTTTGTGCAGTGCAGACATGCTTGTGGGTGTCTGAAAGTGGCTCAGATGGCTCCTTCAGTCCTTCCTTCCTTACAAGGCGAAGCTAGCTGATGCTAACCCCTGTCTTCTGTCACTGCTGCCTAAGGTGCCACAAACTGACTCAAACTGGCAGCCTATGGGATGTGCCTGAGATGACCCTGGAGTCATGCATTTTCTCTCCAATGCTTACAGTCTGTTGCAGTGTGTTGTAAACAGAACAGAGGCCACAGTACCGCAGCAGCGGCTCAGGACTGTACTCACCATGGACAGATAGCACAGGTGCTGACAAATCTGACATCTTCTCTCTGATGTTTCTAACTGCAACCACTTTCGAGGCTTTTTCTTTCCATCCATTGCCGTGCTGCTGCTGTCGTGGCTGCCGTAGCGCGCCGAGGAGTGGAGACCTGCCTCGTAAAGCTGCCGCCGCTGCCTCAGCTCCGTGTCCCTGTGAACATTGGATGCAATCAGAAACCAGTAGTTCCTCGCAGCACCACAAAGCCAACCACAGTCACCCTTTTACCACCATCGTCACTGAAATCGTAACTGCACACAGCGAAGCCCTGAGTGTTGCTGAGGTTGGTGCCATACCCTATGCATGCTGAGAGCCAGCCAGCACCACAGGAATGCTGCCTAACTGCAAAAGGTGACCACTGTATCAAGCCAGTGGTTCTCAAACTGCTCCACAAAGCATTGGGGGCTGCCGAGTACTTCCTCGAGGTCGGTGGGTGCCCGCCCGGGGTGCGTGGAGAGCTGAGCTGTGTGGCTGACAACATGGCTGCCTTTCCTGAAGTTGCCAAAAGCCACCTTGAGGAGGAGGAGCCGTTGCCCCCAGGAGTAACACAGCCACCTTCAGCAGGAGGCCAGAGAACCAAGGATCTGCTGCCAGGAGGTGCTTCAGGCGGGAAAGGGGGAGCAGGGCAAGCGGCTGTGCCAAAAGACGAAGACCTTGCTGCATACCCAGGGGAAAAAGGAGATATCAACTAAGAACAACCACTGAGCCCTCAGGCCGCCCTCCACCCGCTGTGTGTGCAAGGTGGCCAGCGCGTCCTGTACGGAACTGTACAGCATTGCGGGAGCAGGTCGGGCCGCAGCAGCGTGGAGTGAGCTGAGCAGATGGAAGGGGAGAATAGAGACGCTCACCACCAGACACAGCCGAAGATGGGTGGAGAGCCATGCTAAGCAAATGGCACGGCAGGTCAGGAGAGGAGGCAGCGAGACACAGAACAAACAAGCAAAACAGAACAGAGAAAAAAAAATATATATGGTGCATTGTTCCGCTTTGGTTGTGCTTTTCAGGTTTGGGGTTTTGTTTTACATAAGCAGCCATGGGAAGGACTGATATTCTCCAGAGAATTCCAACCTCAGTATAAGAACAAGTTTGAGAACCACTCTGATAGAGGTCGATGTGATCTCTTACAGCGAGCACCAACATCTCTGTTTCACCTTTCACACTTGCAGACTTTTCCTCTTCAAGGAAAAAAAAGTGCGCATGGAAGTGATTATTCCTGCAGGGGAACCAGCTGCAGGTAAAGCAGTCAGCACACCTGGGAGGGGGAGTCAGCACACCTCTTTGTATTTCTTTCTGAACACTAAAACAACACATGGGCTGTATTCCCCTTCAATATGTCACTGGAAACTTTCCAAATGAACATGCTAGTTAGTTAAATACAGTTTGTAGATTCCATTCATCAAAACTTTCTTGGCATCTCGAGTAC